AAGAGGCGCCAGGGGGTCCTCCTCCATTGTGTCTTATCTCCCTGAGGCCCAGCACCATGAGCTCTTCCATTCCTTGATTGAGCTCGGTAGATCGAGCACAAATGGAGTGCAGAAACCCCAAATGATCCACACCGTTGAATTCAAACGATGTCAATCTAGGCCGTTCATCACATCACAAATCTAGATCATTGAAATTAAACGCCAGATTTGATTAACGCCCAAGATTTTATGGTGTCCCTCACGCACGCTGATAAGTGTGTTTTTACACACTTATTTAGCTCACAAACATGACTTAAACATGGACAAAGTAGTTGAATTGTGACTCAATCTCATTAAATTCATGCAATGTAGGTGTTTCTATGGAAAAGATGGAATTCAGAATAAAAGAGCCGGAAAATGACCAAAACAGAACAAAGCGATAGTTCGAGGACCAAAGGTGCAAATATTGGAAAGTTGAGCTAAAGTGCAGAACTAGAATGAAAATATACCAAGTATGAGATTGAGGACGATACAAGATGATCGGAGGAAGAAAGAAATAACATTGGACTGAATTGAAGAAAAGTGAAAAATGAAGGACTAAATTGCAATTAATCAAAAGATGAGCCGAGCAAGTGATCAAGGAATTAATTGACCCAAACATCAATTAGGAGTCAATATTTGATAATGGAACAAAGGAAAGAAAGAAAATAGATCAAGAAAAGAGAAAACGGAGTTCAGGGACCAAAATAGCAAGGTTGTAAAGTTACAACCTTGCGGCCGCATGTAACTATACCATGCGGCCACACATGAGGAGGCAGGGATTTTGTTGAGTAGAAAATTGGAGCCATGCGGCCGCATGGCTTTAACATTCGAAGAAAAATCTGAACTTCCGTTTTTAATTGAAACTCTTTCGGGGCTCCGTGAGTATATGATATAAAAGCCAAAATTCATCAAAAATAGGGCAGAACGTCAAGGGAGAAGAAAAATATAACTTTTGGAGATAGGGAACACGAACTTGAAGCCGATTTCACAAGAATTCAAGCTGGTTTTCAAGGTTTTATTCAAGATTTCAAGAATTTTCATACGGATGCTATTCTTTCTATTTATTAATTTCGTTTTTCTGTAATCATGAATCTTCTAGGCTAGGTTTTCAATTACTAGGTGATCGATGAACCATTGTTTGTTGTTTTAATTCCATATTTCATGAATTTAATATAAAGACTCGTTTGAATAATTTGATTGGTATATATGCATTAATTTTCTTCCACAATTAGTGGCTAATGATTGTGTGAGTGTTGATGACTTGTTTCTTACATTCGAGAGAAGTGGAATAGGTTTGATAAGGTGTAAATCAACATAGGGTCCGATAGGGGATAGAGATATACCCCTATGCTTTATACAATTCTTTAATTGTTCACAAAACCACATGCATTCTTGTATAGTTGCATCATCCATAGAGATATAGGCTGGTGGTGTGTAAGAATAGGTTTAATATATATCGAGAGAATATATTGGATAGAATTAGGAACATTGAATTGACAAATTTCCATCGGGTCATTAATTTTATGAAATTAGAGTTTTTATAACTTCAATTGAGGATTCGTGATCCTAGTGACTTTAGTTTGATTCATTTCCATAAATTAGCAATTGAATTTGCATAATTTCATTTACTTGAGTGTTTGAGTCATTTAATTAAAGAAATTTCGAAATTAGGGTTTCTAATTGAGAAATTAGGGTTTTTAATTGAAATTAGGGCTTTTTGCATTTAGACCATATTATCACTCAATTAGATTTGGTTAAGGTTAGATTATATAGAATTGAACTACTCAATCTCTGAGGGACGATATTCAGACTTTTAAAAATCCACTTTATTACTTGTTACGAACCGTACACTTGCGATAGTTTTAAATCAAAAGAATTATTTCGCGAACACACGCATAAAACGCGTCACCTCGAACAAACAATAGCCGTCAGCAATAAGTAGCTGCATTAGCTCTTTTTCTGGGAACAGGAATCACATCCAACTGTCGCCTTGAAAATAGGCGACAGCTGTCACATCGATTAATGTCATAATAAGACACTTCAAATCTGAGATAATCCGTCTCAATTTGCCTCAGATGAATACACTCCTCAGCTTTACAAGCCTCGGTGCCACTGACACGGAGTCCCCTGTGGGTCACCACCTCGGTCGCACGTTTCCTCAGCTTCACAATGCCTTAGTCATCTCCCAACGCATCATCCCCTGTGGGTCACCACCTCAGTCGCACGTTTCCTCAGCTTCACAATGCCTTAGTCATCTCCCAACGCATCATCCCCTGTGGGTTAGCTCACAAGTGGCAGATGAGCTCTTCACCCAGCTTCAAAAGCTTCGGCGCCACTAATACAGAGTCCCCTGTGGGTCACCGACTCGATCACACATTTCCTCAGCTTCACAATGCCTTAGCCATCTCCCAACACGTCGTCCCCTGTGGATCAGCGCACTAGTAGCAGATGAGCTCTTCACCCAGCTTCAAAAGCTTTGACACCACTGATGCGGAGTCCCCTATGGGTCACCGCCTCGGTTGAACAACTCCTCAGCTTTACAAGGCGTTAGCCATCTTCCAATGCGTCGTCCCATGTGGGTCGGCGCACAATTGGCAGATGAGCTCTTCACACAACTTTACAAGCTTCAGCGCTACTGACGCGGAGTCCTCTGTGGGTCACCACCTCAGGACGACCTACCCACATCACCTCGGTTATCACTTCGCCTCAACCAACAAGTGTTCGGCACACCTAAACACTTTACTCTTTCACACCAGCATCTCATCAGAATCCACAGTACTTACTCTAAGGCCGGCATACACAGTTAGGAAAACTAGTCCACCCATGACATGAATATTCATGTCCGAACTTGGGGGGACCACTGTTACGCCCCTAACTAAGACACTTTGGTACTCAACCACTTGGACACAACATTCACCCCACTCTCCGAAGCGCCACATGTCCATCCGAAATAGTTCCGAAGTGATACCGATTCTTGACGACCTCATGACGCGTTACAAGGTGAAGAGTAGATCCAATGAAGCAACCGAAGTGTCCCTCAACGTCGAAATGTTGAAGGATCCGAGGTACTCCCTTAACAGATCCCTCCGTCGCCACTGTCAGAAAGATATCTGTCCGGATCTTGATGTGACGTCTCCATAGGTTTAGTTGATATGACATATTGACTTTATGTCAACTTAACCTAACTAATTGCCTGCCCACACTAGACGCGGCTGATTGACGCATATGAGCAGATGCCTCACACCGTCAGATGCATACACGTGTCCCACATCCAATGGTGCTCTACATCTATAAATACCCAAGATTTGACAAGAGACAGTCAATGAAACTCTTATAACTTAGCTCTCCGTACTAAGAAATATATATATTATCTTACCCACTCTCTTGCATAACGTGAGCACTGTTCCGATCACCCAACGCTGATTTGACCGTCGGAATGTATGCAGCCGCCGCCGCCACCTTTGATTCCGACCGTGTGCTTCTGACTGTGCATTGTTGTGCACAGAGAGGATTACGTGGAGTAGTTATTCGTTAACGACGTGGAGGGTCCAATTCTCGAGGTCAACAGTCATTGTAAAAATTTAAACAAAATGACATTTTTTAATTAATATTCATGATTGATAGTAAGTTAGAAATTGTGAAAATTATTCTAAAAAATATTAAAATATAATTTTAAAAGAAAAAATCGTCATTGTAGTAGTTTTAAACAACGATTTACGGATAACAATTTCGCAGATTATATCACAAAGCACATCAAAATCGATATGTTTTTACAATGTGATTTAAGAGAAGCATATAAGTTGATTTTTGTTAACGCACTGAAGTTAAGGTTTGAAGCATAGAAGACAAATCAAGAATGTTTCAAAGGTACTACCGGCCAGCCGGCCTTCTTCCAAATCATTGTAATGCATGATCTTTTGGATGTTAATTTTAGTCTTATTTACTTTGTTGGTAATGTGGAGGATAATATTGTAATTTCATCCTTATGAAAGTTAAGAATTAAAGAATCAATTTTGTTAAACAGTTTAAAGGATATATTGGATTCTTCTTGAGAGGAAGTTTGTCGGTCAGGGTTATGGTTAAATTTGATTAATTCTTGAATATTTGATCTCATCACTATAAATTATTTAATCTAGTAGTCATATCAAGTTCAATACAAAATAAATTGATAGAAAACTATAGCAATATAATTTTATTTTTCACTTTAATTTCTTTTATATCTTTATTAATTCTGAGATTTGTTCTCAGTTGTATTATATCCATATAAGAATTCCTTATTGAACTATTTTCATAAAAGAATTCTTTATTAATTAAGTTGGATTATAATTTGATAATTGCATGTTTAGTATGACCTTCACAACTTATAATTACATATCGAACATGCACTCAAGATATATAAATAAACAAGATGATATCAACTTTTTGGATTTTTAAAGATAGATTGACAATTTGAACAATATCAATTCTCTCATGAAATTTAACTTCTACTTATATTATACAGCACCATTCAAATATCAAAGAAAGGTAGAAGGATTTAATATGCGATTACAAAATTAATTTTAAATTATAAATATATGAAAATGAGTGGTGAATGGTACACGTGAATCCATTAGAACGTACTATTAAAAATGAAGTTTGATCATTTATATGTGATTTGTAAATTTTATCAATTGTTTGGCTTCTCCAAGTCTAAGAAAAAGTAAAAATTATTTTAAAAGCAAAAAATCAACTTTGAGTTAGACACTTACTTTTTATAATTTCATTATTTCCCATTTTCAAGAACTTTTAAATTATTATTAATGGGGGAGTTTGCATTCAAAGATAAATAAGCAAGTCTATGCCGGCCATTGATGCCAATGCTCGCAGAGACAAGGAGCTGCAAAAGCCATTTGCGTGCACCTTAACTAATCTTTTACATGTATACATATATCATAATTTCTTCATATTAATTTCACCACCAAATCGTGTATAATCAATTAATGGAGCTTCCTCCAAATATACTTCCGGATGAGGCCAATCCCAAGTGGATGAACAAAGGCGACAACGCATGGCAACTCACAGCGGCCACACTAGTCGGGCTACAGAGCATACCGGGACTGGTTATCATCTACGGCGGCATGGTGAAGAAGAAATGGGCAATCAATTCAGCATTAATGGCTTTCTACGCATTTGCAGTCGTTCTAATCTGTTGGGTCGGGTGGGGTTTTCGCATGTCATTCGGAGAACGACTAGTCGATTTTTGGGGAAAACCTGCGGTGGCTTTAGACCAGAAGTATCTTCTTGGACAGGCCTTTCTGGGTTACTTTCCAACAGCAACAATGGTGTTGTTTCAGTTTGTATTTGCTGCAATTACTCCTATTTTGATCGGGGGTGCACTTTTAGGGAGAATGAATTTTGTTGCATGGATGATTTTTGTTCCTCTTTGGCATACTTTTTCGTATACAATTGGCGCTTTTAGCATTTGGTGCCCGAATGGCTGGTTGGCAAAGCTTGGAGTCATTGATTTTGCTGGAGGATTTGTTATTCATCTCTCCTCTGGTGTAGCTGGATTCACTGCTGCTTATTGGGTAATTTAGTAACCTCTAATATTTTCGTTTATAGATACGTGGTACTCGACTAGATTAGACATGTACTATTACTATATACATCCACTTGATAAGGTTTGATTAGAAATGAGCTTTTACTCATAATGGACATGACACTTAAGCTTACAATTTTTAACAATTTAACGTAGAACATGTCTTGTCACGTCAATGGTCCAACCTACAAGTTTTAACAATTCAATGTTGAATTGTCAGAAATTGTAGGCCCACGTCAGCGGTAGGTAAGATAACTCCTACCCACCCATCACTTTTGAAGGTTTGATTTTTTTATTATCTTGTCCAATATTATCAGACTCTAGTGTAGCAAAAGCTTGTCTTCAATTCACAAAACTCGAAATGACAACAAGTTGATCATTGCTTGATCATAACGTAAAATCATGAATTAAGATGATGCAAGTATACATAAAAGAAATATAATTGGACCTGCATGAATTCATATATATAGGTGGGACCGAGAATTGACAAGGACAGAGAAAGATTCCCGCCGAACAACGTACTTATGATGCTGGCGGGTGCCGGCTTGCTGTGGATGGGGTGGACGGGGTTCAACGGTGGAGCACAGTACGCCGCCAGCACCGTTGCGTCCTTGGCAGCCCTCAACACACACGTGTGTGCTGCTACTAGCCTCCTAACTTGGTTGCTGCTTGACACCGTTGTTTTTGGCAAGCCTTCTGTAATTGGAGCTGTGCAGGGCATGATAACTGGTTTAGTTTGCATCACCCCAGGTGCAGGTATAGAAAGAACCGTATAATAAAAATGGTCACTAAGCTCCTATCTGGGAGCGATTTTTATTCCATTTTTAACAAATTTTCGACCGTTGCTGCTGCAATTATTGATTACCTTAGAAATAAATTACCAAAAATGCCCTTAAGAAGAATGAATTAAATATTAAAGGACACATAGGTCATTCTGCTTGGTTCAGTCAACAATTGCAGCTGATAAGAGACTGACATATACTATATAACGGTAAAAATTTTGCTACAAATTGGATAAAAAGCACTCCCAGACAGGGCTAAATTCCATGCGCGCGACTAACATATTCAGAAAATTTATTTGATTCAGGAGTTGTTCAGTGCTGGGCAGCCATTTTGATGGGTTTAATCTCTGGGAGCCTGCCTTGGTACACAATGATGATACTCCACAGCAAGTTCAATATTCTTAAACAAGTGGACGACACTTTTGCGGTTTTCCACAGCCACGCCATAGCCGGAAGTTTAGGCGGAATTCTCACCGGCTTTTTCGCAATGCCTAAACTCTGCAGATTGTTTTTCCAGGTACCAGATTGGGAAAAGTATATTGGGCTAGCTTATGGTCTCCAAACTGGTAGAACTTCAGCTGGGCTTAAACAAATGGGGATTCAACTTATAGGGATTGTTTTCATAGTGTGTCTTAATATAGTTACCACAAGCTTGATTTGTTTGTTCATAAAGTTGATAGTACCACTTAGGTTAAATGAAGAGGAATTGAGAATTGGTGATGATGCTGTGCATGGAGAAGAAGCATATGCTTTGTGGATCGATGGGGATAGATTTGAGAATGCCAAGAGTAATTCAATTTATGATGTTGATGAATACCCGTCGATCATGTCCAAGAATGCTAGTGAATTGCAAATGGTGTAATATACAGTACTGCATAATAAGCACGGTAATGTGAGGAATTAATGTGCGTACTTTTCTCTGTAGAGAAAGCATAAAAGTCGCGTTTGTGTATGTTTGTGTTAAAAGAACTTGGCCCCAATCTAGGAACTATGTAAGTAAATGGGAAATTTATGAATTGGAAAGATAATTAATTTTATAAATGAAATAAATATACGAACATCCTTGAACTTTAAAAACAAACATGCATGAATCTTAAAAGAAAGAGGATTCACGGCCAGCAAGAAATCGAAAAGATTGACAAACTTATACAAGCTTAGGAACTTAGAATTTATGGAAGATATTTCAGCATATTTTGGAGTTGATTATAATCAGTTTTGTTATGCCTCGTATTAAAGTCTTCACTGGAGGCCATGTGGAGGCACATACATCTTACGGTTGACAAGGTCAAAATAAAGAAAGGGAATAAGCTACCTTTTTGTGGAAGCACTATATCCATCCAAAGTCACTTGTCGAAGCATTTTCTCTTCTGGCTGGACCACTGTTGGTCCGAAGCTCTCTCCTTAAGTGGAAGTGCTTGTGACATTTAAAGCAGATCTGAAGAGTATCTATAAGAACGATTGATGTAATGTTTGTATTAATAAGTGTCAAAATTTCAGTTTAGAGTGTAGGGCAACCAGCCCCTTGTCAATGCATTCAATGTATAGCAAAGTGACGCGAGACTTCAACTAATGAGATGGAGTCACGTGATTTTGATCCAACGGCCACCATGTCGGCTTAAGCTCTATAATAGCATCTCTTTATAACATTTAGAAGGAAGAAAAAAATACATGCAAACTAATCATATATAAAACCACGAGTCCACTACTATACATGTTGGACCTTTGTAATTCCTTAAAGTTTGTTTGGAAGTGATTTTGAGAATTAGTTTTTTGACCGTTATGAAAAAAGTAGGGTCCACCTATGAGAAAAGAAGTCAAATATGACGGCTGAAATAGTGAAATAACGGTCAAAAAATCAATTTTTTGGAGGAAAAAATTGCTTTCAAACAGGCCCTTATATTTTTCTATGAAATTGTCTATAGTGGATTATTTCGTTTAAGATCAATCTGATCATATTATCGGTGCTTGAACGTTTTTGTTTTGTATCGTAGAGCATTTCCCACGTCCATTATCGCTGTGAGTCTCTAATTGTATCTTTAATCAGCATGTGCCGAAATTTGCTTGCGTGGACACAAGTGGATCCGACATCTGTTATTGATGTTTCCAATGCAAAAACAGGGTCAACAAATTTCAATGGAAATAAGTGATAAATAAGGAATGGTACTCGTGAATTTCACAAAATGTATGAATAAAAAATGATTCGACCAATTATAAACAATACCAAATATGTTGGTGCGTAAAATCTCAAAAAAATATTTAAGAGAAAATCATCATTAAATTTTTTTGAATTAAGTAGATTTATTCTAACAAAACAAGCCATGACAAATAGTATTCATGTTTAATTAAAATTTAAGGATGGCAAATTTTTTGATCCAGCCACACTTCAAATGCGATGGGTATTTCCCCGCTCGGCTGTGGAATCGAGCATATGGAGAACGTGCCCTCTCCATCCCATTTCATTTCATTTTTATTAAGGGTTTATTTGAGTGTAATATTTTGGAAAAATACATTTTCTAATAGTGATTTTTTCAACAAATGTGTGATTAAAAAGTAGGAAACCATTTTGAATTTTATATGAAAATGAACTTTTAAAACATGGCTCGAACATGATCTAAATTTAAACTGTATTTAATATTGGCGCCATTATACTTTCATTTTATTTTTTACATTGCTTAATTGTAGGGATTACATTTCATTGGCTCAATTCCAATAGAATTAGACTAGCAATTTTCCAAAAATGAAAAAATTGAAAGTTATCATGAAAACAAAACCACTTTTCATTGGCTCAGTTAAACTTTGATAAAGTAATGTTCGATAAAGTAATAACCTCGATTATATAATAATTTCTTTCGATCCCGAATTGGGCCAATGGACTAAAGTAATAACCTCGCTAAATGCATTAAGTAATAAAAAAAATTGAATCCTTAAGAACCCAATAAAAATATAAAGTAATAATTACTGGATTTCATTGAGAATAATATATATATATATATATATATATATATATTTGATTTTTTTTCTTCCCATCTAAACCAAAATGAACCTCATCCTTAACTTTTTGTAGAGCATACACAACTTTCGGAATATTTTGCTCGTATTGTAGTAAGTAGTTGCTTAAGGTGACTATTGCTTGAAATGTCTCTTTTGACGACACATTTGGGATAACGCTACTATCATCTGGTTCATGATCATTCTCATCATCATTACTGTTCATTACCGATTGAATAATTTTTTCGACTGTAGGTGATTCCATAACTGCATCATTCTCGCTATGATTGTTCAAAAGATGTTCAACATCCATCACATTTCTATAGTGTAAATTAGAGATGACATCATTTAATCCTTGGATACATTTATCTAATTCACCAACTTCTGGTTCGGGAATATTGTTTTCTTCTGACCGAATCTTGCAATGCCGAAAACAATTTGCAATTGTTGTTATTTTCACATCGAAATTCCAAGCCATGTTAGCAAAATTAATAGCATTCAAAATATTAATTTTTTCAGGATTTGGTGCTTCAACCTCAAGGCCTTGCAAGATGCTAGAATAAAAACGACGACGATAATGAGCTTTGAATGCTCGAATAATCCCAGCATCACATGGTTGAATCTTAGACGTTGTGTTAGGAGGTAAGAAAAATAACTCTATATTTCTCAAGCCTTCAACTACCTTTGGATGAGTTGGGCAATTGTCTACTATTAAAAGAACCTTCCTGTCATTCATTCTCTTATCAAGCCAACCAACAAAATTTTAAAAAAGCAAGCAAGTCATCCAAGCTTTCTTGTTGGATCGATCATGTTCACATTTTTAAAGCATTTAGGATTTGCATACTTACCAATAATCCAAAGTGGTACTTTGTCAGATCCATCACCATTGTAACAAACAACTACAGTAATTCTCTCCTTATCTTTTTTGCGTCCTTCAAGCTGCTTGGTAGCAAGTGAATGATCAGCTTCCAATCGGTAAAATAATCTAGTTTCATCCATATTGTAAATATCCTTCAACTGAAACTGGTCTAGTTTTAATCGTATTCCAGGTAAAGCATTTTCAATGTTCTACATGATAACTGAACCACTTTCACCAAAATGTCGGTAAGATTTGATTCCATATCTTGCCTTGAAACATTCTAATCATCCACTAGAAAAGCTGAATTCTGGATTAGTTTCACCATATATTTTTTGCAAAAGCTCTTTTGCTTTTCCTTGGATAATTTCTCCAGACATGTTTACTTTATCTTACCTTTGAAGAAACCACTCATACAAAACTTTCTCTAAATCAGGGTATTTTGTCGATTTGTGCCTTTTAACATCGCTATTTTTCATCTCATTTGACAAATATTCCTACGTCCTTTTGAGAGTGTTCGATATTGTTGATTGACTAATAGTCAAATCAAACTTTTGTTGCACCCATGCTTGCATATCTTTTTGGCTAATAGTTGGATTCTCTTTCTTATGCTCACATATTGCACTCCTCATTTTAATCATTAAAGTTGATTTTTTTACTCCTTTCAAATGATGAGAAGATATTGGAAGGGAAACAAAATATTGTATTTGCTTGGAATATGTCTTCCAAACATCTAGCTTTTATAGGTAAAGACTAAACATTTTCATTTGTTATGTACGTGAACTTAGTTTTTAGTGACATTAAGTTTCATTAAAACTTTTGAGTTTCTCTAGATTCAAATAATATTTTGATTAGTGTCTTTTGATTTTTTTTACCACATACAATGTACATATTTTATATTGAAAAGCTCTCTCTAAAATAATAAATATTTATTTATCGATAAATGAATAATTTATTCATTTATCGATAAATAAATAATCTCGCTAAATGAATATTTTTTTTGGTCCCGAGAGTATTACTTTATCGAGGTTTAACTGTAGTTCCTTTATAAATTGAAAATATTTGATGGTCCAAATTAGTATTATTAGAATTTGGTGGGTGAAAATATAATTTATGAAAATAAGGGCGACAAACAGCCACAAGGGTTTTGGATAATTGGATTTGCCCCTACCGTTAACCCAAAAAAACTGCAAAGAACACGGGGTGAAGAGAAAACGAAGGGGGCGACCAATTTGGACGCTGCAATCGTCCACAGTATTGGAAACTCTGTATCACCAGGTTGTTCTTTGTATTCGTCTTTCAATTTTTTTTTGTGCTGCTAAATAATCACCCATATTGAATTGCGTTATTTCGTGCCTTTGCTTTTGGGAATTTATAGAATCCAAAATTAGGACTTGTGGAGAATTAGTTGTCCAATTTTTAAAATTTTTTTCTTGGTTCGGTGATTTTAATTTTACTGTTCTGAGAACTGAATTTCTGGGTTTAGGATTAATGTTCTTCTGCATATTAGTAAAATTTATGAATAATCATATAGAAAGGACCGAGAACAGTGTGTAATCTTATCCCTGACCTCTCCATCCATTTTACTTCTTCTGTACGAGCTATGTTGGTTTTTATTCTAAACATCACGACACTGTCTTCTTGACCAATTTGCATCCTGTAGAGAATGGGAACTATTGCTTACTTCAAAGGTGCTATCATGCAGAGTCGTTTATGGGATATTTCATGATTAATACTTGTACACTTCTGGGGTCCAATACATTGCTTTGCGGTGCAGGTAACAAAATGTTTGAGGGATAGATGGCTTAGTTGTGAACATGTGACCATTAGTAGACAAGTTGGGTGAAGAATAAAGGTATCACAAAAACGAAGTTTAATTGTAGAAATATATTTCTATTAAACCATGGATCATTGATGAAATAAATACTGATGAAAAGAAAAATTGCTACATTAGGAAACGTTAAGGAGCCCATTTTAGAGCTTAAAATAATTTCATCTTTAATGGTTGTAGTTTCTTTTTCTCTAGACTTTCATTGCTGGTGTTATGTATTATTCTCCCATAGAAGGAGGAAACTCGACATTTAGTTTGAAGTGTTTTAAATATGGAATCTTTCGTTGGTCAGTGATGAACCTCGGTTTAGTCGAAAACTGTTGAATAATGACCGATTCACCCCCTTTGTTAGTAGAAGATAATTTTTCCTGTAATTTTGCATCTTTAACTGTGAGACTACATTAATTTTATCCTAAGAGAGATGCTTAGAAGGCTTTGGCATGTTTCTAAGGTTATATAGTCTGCCTCAGAGAGATTCATAAGCTGTTTCTCTTGCCTGATCTTTTATTCTTCTTTTCTAATTATATTCTTTCGAGCTGTACCACCATTTATTGCTGGACAGCCTTCAGCTTCTCATTTAAAAACATGAGAAACACCGGGGGGGGGGAAGAGAGAGAAGATGCAAACATGTATCCTCTGCAGCTCTTCCCTGCAATTCACTCCTGCCTGTCTATCATCTGCAGCTCTTCCCTTCCCACTGGCAGCTAGCTGCTTCCCCTCCTCCTTTGTTTCATCCTTCAGATTTGATTCCCTGGTTCCTGGTTCCACATTTCTTGCCCAGTGGGCATGGCTGCGGATGGGTGGGACAAAGAAAATAGGTGTTTTTTTCTTCTTTCTTCTTTTATCATTGTATATTTTTCTATTTTGATTTAAAATAAAGGTACAACTCTACTTTTAACGGTTAAATTGACAGCAACCACCTACTGTGGACCAATTACCACAAACTACAACAGTTGGAGACCAGCTTATTACGATGGGTTGGGAGCCTCTACTATTTTCACTCAAATTAAAGGACTTTACATTCTAAATGTGACTTTGGTCCACCAAATTCATAAATTTTCAATGACATTAAATGTAACCAAAACTTTTCATTTTTGAAGAAGGCAAAAACTTGCTTAGGCTAGGAGACATCAAGTAGTTTCCAACAAACTTAATTTTCCCCCATCATCCCTACCAAATTTTTTTTCCCTAGTGTATTTCCACAATATTTATCTAAACAATGTTAGGTTTGGGAGCATACTATTGCTTCCTATGCGTTTATAAAGCCAGGTTGCACAGGTCATATGGGACTGGGTGAATTGAGTGCTACTACTAACTGCTAGTGTGTGATTTGATATTAGTCAAGCTAAGTGAAGTTTAAATATGAATATGATATGAATAAAGAAGTCCATGATGCAGGTGCGGCAAAAATTTGCATCATGGAAGCTCAGCTTACAGATGCTGTAGCTGCCTATCCATGTGTTAGAGCCACCATTCACCTAGGATCAGAAAGATTCTTTGTTCAGGCAAACAATGGGGTTCTTTCTGAGCAATTGGTTTCAGTGAAGGAGCAGAGCATGGGCATACTGAAGGACTTCATAACGAAACATAATATTCCAACTGAAGTTCCTGATGAACCCGAAGAGGTCTCTTCAGAAGACGACAGTGAAATATCTGCAAAGCCTCCAATGAAGAAATCGAAGAATGGACAATAAAATGTTCTGTCATAGTAGGTACAAATCTAATTCGCAGCACATGTTTCAATAATTTTCTGTTGGGAGTATTAAAATTTACCTTGGATTTAATTGTTTCTCCTTATTAGCATGGAACTTCATTAGTGTTCTTTTTGCTATATAAGTTTACCCAATTGCTTATAATTAATTAGATAAACTTAGGAATGGGTTATGAAGGAATTCTTCTCAGTATGTTGTAGATGGGAAACAAAAAATAATAATTTTCACGTCAACCTTAATTAAGAATATAGTTGTGTGTAGTCGATCTCAAATATGGCATCGATAAATGTTATTGAGAGTAGATGACTCTGTGGATCAAAATGTTTAAGTTTATATCTAGCAAGTCTGATTGATGATAAAAACAGTCTACAATTTGATTTTAGCTCTTTTTGTCCTTCAAAAACAAGGATTGTATCCTTAACATAAAATCAGAAAATAAGGTAGGAGTCTTGAGATTAATGTTTTAGGAGAAATGTTTTGTTTTATTTTATATTTTAATATTTTGATACGAGTATGCAGAAAAAGATTATGACTATCTTACACATAAAAGTAAAACAAATAGTCATATATATCTTTAAGATGCGTACACTGTTTCTATGTCATATAGTTTTTAAATCGGGTAAAGTATTATGAATGTTTTTATTATTTTATACATTATGTGTATTATCCTTTTTATTCTTAACTTGAATTCTTATTGAATTGTATTTATATAAAGCCGAAGTGGATCATAATTTTCCCACATGTACATAAATTATATCAGTATATTTAAATTTAATATTTTTAAACATAGATTTATTGCATTAGAATTACATATAGAATGTAATAATTTTAAATGTAGAATTAAATTATACAGAAATTTCAAATTATTGTACAAAATATAGAATGCATACGATTGGCCGTTCTTTTGATATGATCAACAAGACACAAGAATTGAGCCATTGGCTTGTCTCTGATGGGGAAGAACGTTTAGGTTCTAGACAACACAAGTGGAATTCCTAAATGTTTAGACGAAGAACATGAACACTATATTGCCGCCAAGGCTTTGATACCACTTTTACACCATGAACTTCAATTGATGTCGCAAAATTAAAATACAAATTTGAAAATCAAAATATCAGCGCCAAAGGTATATCCGCAATTATTAGGGTTCGAAGTGATACATAGTACGCTTTGAAAAATTAGACTCAAATCTTCATCACGTACTACTACATTAATGGGACCACAAAAAGAACCAGAAGTTCTACTCAAGTCTTCTAAACACTCACCAAGAGTACTCACACAGTGAACGAAGAAACCCAAGCACACGATTATAGAGAGAAGGCAAGTGTGGAGAGATCGGTTTGAACACAATGTGCAATTAGAGCACAAGTGAGTGGTATAACCGTATAAGTACTCTTACTTTCCACAATAGATTAAGCGCATGTTTGAGCTTTATTTTTTGCTCAAAATATATTTTTAAATAGTATTTTGTTGAAAAACGTATGGTTAAAAAATAAAGAAATATTTTGGATTTGCATGTAATATTATTTTATTAAAAAATATTTGATTGAAATAAGAGAGATGTATTTTGGAAATAATGGGTAACAAACTAAGGCTGAATCTCACCCAATAACTGTAAGCTGATTGCAAAAGAGTCGATTGAGTGTGTAATTATAAGTAATTGTCTTTCTCCAAACAGAGCCTTGACTAGGGTTCAGTTCAAATTTGGGCTTTTTTTTATAATGGAATTTGCCACTCATTTTTATTTCTTCAATCATAGGCATTTGGTGTATGAAGTTTAACGGACTCCTGAATTTGATGACATTGCCCCCTGTAAGAGTGGCAATGACCAAACCGAATTGATTGGACCCGTAGATATTCGAGCTCGGCTCTTGTCCAAATTTTAGGATCAATTGGGCCCTTTCAATTATGGGCCTCACAAATCGAGTCCATTCAAGAGTCAAAACGAGTCAAGTAGAATGGAATCATCGACAAGTCGACTCGTCTTTTTAAAAATAAATAAACTTAGGAATTTGATATAATAAGTGGGGAAAATGAGCTGATTGTTTAAACTATCCCCACGAGTCCAAACGAGCTGACTCTTGGAAAAAAATGTAAGTTAGACTTGTTTCATGAACTGTCTCAAAATGAGGTCAAGTTGTTCACGGATCGAGTGAGGATAAATCAAACCAACAAGCATTCGATCCATTCATACTAATTTGGAAACACAACCCAACACGGTGCAAAAAAAATTTGATGATACTGTTTCGCGCGGGTAATCGCTAACAATTAAAAAGGGATCAGACGATTGTGTAAGGAACAAACCTCTTGAGACAAAGTCCCAAAAAGGGGTGTTTTATTGGCGATGACTTTACAATTGGAACTAAACAGAATGCCTCAAAGGGGCGCAAGCACACGAGTACTAAAAAGAAATATTTGAGTCTAAACTAAGAAATTGAAATTACATATTTTCTGTTTAAGAGTGTTTGATTCGTGGTCCTTTGCTCTATGTCTTTTTTTCCTTTTATATTCCCTTGATGATTTCTTCGTAATCAACCGCTTAGAAACTGCTTGATTGCTTTATAACTACCCACTTTTTTTATGATGGCTAACTTGTCGTGGAACTGTCGTCTCTAACTGCTGACACTACTCTTTGTCGTTCAACCATCTTCAACTGAATTCTTTGAATCGTAGAACGTGATAAGGTTACTCAATAACTGCTTCAATAACTGCACTTCTGGATAACCATAACATCTTATGTTTGCTAAGATCCTGGACAATTCGAAAGTTTGGGCAAGAACAGGGTCATAGCTCTAGGCGACTGTAAGGCACTTCATTCGCTTAGATCTTAGGCGTCTTGCAAGCTTGGACGATGATGTTACCGTGTTCGTGGGCTTCCACTGCATTCATTAATAACCCTATCTGGACCTTTATCCTGAATTGCCCAGTTAGGCTTCATTCTTTGGGCTATTTGATTTGGAAATTCCCCAATTGGGTTTCATTCCTTGGGCTATTCGATTTGGGCTGCACTTTTAGTGTGTCAACAATTACCCTCCAATATGGTAGAATTAATACCAATTATTAATTTTTGCCATATTTAATTTGTGTTTCCCAACAACATTTGAAATTCCCAAGAATTTTAATCATTATTTCCTTCCATAGCTTGAAAAAGTGCGACGCCACAAACCCTTATAAACCCCAAAGACACGCCATTTCGTTGTACCACTAAATCACGCCTCATTATTTCACGCTTCTTTATCGCAATACCACCACTGTTCATCTTCTTGCTTCTCTGCTACGTTTCTCAAGCAAACTTTAACAAAACTGTATTTCGTTCGCAATGGCTGCTCCACAAACCTAATCTGACGACTCTTTTAGCTTCGAAGATTTCCAGAAAATCCTCACTCAGCCATATGTAAATCCGAACTTCCTTGCACCAGTCAATGCCGAACTTAATGAGTTCTATCTGGGTCCTTCATGTAACAATGCCGAAGTCGTCGAACAAGTGGCGATGGGCCAGCTGTTCCCTTGTTTGTACTCAAGGCCCTCCATTCCTGAACTCTTTGCCGCTGAGGCCGATTCGCGAAAAAAGTATTCGCACTTGGCCTAAATCTGATATTGTTTTCCGTAGATGGCATGCTCGCCTTGTGGGCCATGGTCCTACCAAGGCAATTTTTGATCATGTTATGATTTCTGATTTATTAGAAATCTCTCTTCAACTCCCAATTTTTGACCCAGCACTTTTTCCTATTACTTTAAGTTTTTTGTCTTCTGAATATAATACTTTTATTTTCCCTCTTGGTCCCATGTCTATTACTTTAAGGGATATTGGGGCCCTGATAAATCTTCCAACTTTGGGCGACACCATTTTTCTTGGTATTTTGATTTCCGGTGTTGTCCCAAAATTTGACAAAAAACTCACCGAGTCCTATTCAAGCCTGCAAGGCTGTTATAATCACTCAAACGCTAAGCCTTCCCACTCTGAGCGTGTGGCCTTTCTTCAGATTTGGCTTTGTAAATATATTCTGTGTATGCCCAGTATGAAGCCTTCTATGAGCTATTTACCCATAGCGCACGAATTGGCGCGTGGTAGGCCTTTGAATTTGTGTTCCTTCTTTTTAGCTGCCCTCTATAGAGGCATGGCTTCTCTTCAATTTCAATTGAAGAATGGTGCATCTCCCACTGGCAGTAGGCCTTTTTGGTTCACTCAACTGTGGTTGAGAGCCTATTTTCCATCACTTGGTACTCTATCCATGTCCCTTCGTTCTGCTAGCTGCTATGGGCTAGCCATTGACCCATTTAGCCCTGTAAATATGTCCAGAAGGGACATTTTTTCATTCTTTTATACTTTAAATTCAATTCCTTCCTTCTTTCCCTTTCCTGCTCATTTAACTCCAGATTATGTACAACCTCCATCCACCCTGGACAGTACGAGCGCCTCTCTGCTCGTTTGGGTTCAGTTTTTGACTGGGAGGGAGTTGTTCCATGATATTTTAACTGGAACCAATGCCAAAGCTGGGGTTGAAATATCTGCTCCCCAATTTTTTGCTCACCAACTTGGTTTTGGCCAAACTTGGCCTGTTCCCCCTTGTTATTCAAAAAATTTGATAGACCGCTTTCACACCATTAATAAGGCAGAGGCACAAGCTATAGATGCTCGCAATATTCTTTTGACGAGTAACTTTTCATTAGCCCCTTTCAATCCTAGCCGTGCCGTTCATCCCCTTTTTGAACAACTCTGGTCATCAGTGAAGCGCAGATTGTTTGCAACTGATACCAATCGTGCTTTCCATTCACTGGATCAGCCAAACATTCCTTCCGCTTCTCCTATTTTGGTCACCCCTGTGTCCATTAGGAATCCTTCCTCCCCTGCTCGTGCTAAACAATCTGTTCGTCCCTTTTCTTCTCTACTTGCCAAACCTATGCAACTAAGAGTGCCCCAAGCCGCAAACGGCCAGTTTCAGCATCTCCCATTTTGGAGGATGATGATGATGATGATGACACTCCTCTCATATTCAGGAGAAGGGTAATTGAATTCTGTTTACTCACAAGCATACCTTTCTATGTACTAATGGTTTTCTTGAATTTCTCAGAAAAATTCAGCCTCTCCTTTGAAGGCTTTGGTGTTGGCAGCTCCTGCTCCATCATCCTCTGCTAGAGCTGCT